AATCACTTATGAAGACTGCTCGCGACGTGATGATACGCCGAGTGAGGAGTGTGGCCAATTCGATCAGAGTATGTCGTCAGAATAGGAAGATGAATCGTACTGGACTTTTGCTACTAGGATACTCGATCACCTCTCGAGAATATATGCGCTACCAGTGTGTGTAAGACTTTTATCGCTTTGTGTTCTTGCCTCACATTCCCCGAGGAAAGATTGCGGAGATGATAGTCGTCTGTGTAGGGATCCTCCTTCTTGAGAGAAGTTTGCTGTTGCTTGGATACCTTTGTTGGTTGAGTCCCGAACCTCGGAGTGTATGGTCATTCCAGGAAGCTCACTCGCATTCTCTGGCAGTCGATATACGGAGAATCACTCGTGTGTTGCGTGTGGGTGTTGTTGTTTGCAATGGGAGACAATCTCGAGCGGTCTAGGGTGACGTATTATATAGAGATAGACGTCCACTCGCAGATGCGGATTGAAGCATATCTACTCATTATGTATTGATTGAAGACTCGTCTTTCGCAATATAGTGGTGTGCAAAATCTACTTCCTCCATATCTCCATGCTCTCACCAGGTGCTGGCCAGAGTCGAGGCAACAAACGCTTGTGGCAGTTACGGAAGAGAGCATAGAAGGACGCATGTCAATAGCAATGCTCTCCTGGTTTGTGGGAGAATCTGTGAACTGTATCGACTCTGGAAGCACCATCTCTGTGATATATTGCGAGCTCTCAAGCGCTCCGGAATACTAGAGTGTCACTCAGAGAACATCTTTACTGCACGCATAAGTCATGCTCGGATCTCGGTCGTACTTGCAGTCTTGTGCCATCGCACTGCATCTTAGATGGAGGAAGATATCTTTCTTCTCTCATACGGGTGATCGCCATCTTTTCTACAGGTAGAAAACTAATGCGTGTTCAGTTAGTGACATGGTCAGTGAAATACATCATAGCTTGATGCTTAGGATCGGGAAGAGGACGTGTCTTGACTCTATGATTCCAATGTGATCGCGCCCCACCCGAGTGGCGTGTGGAGCGTAGTAAAAATTCCATTCGGGAAACTACAATGTCTATGATATCAGAGTGTCGTGGAACTCAGGAATCGTGAGTGTGCCCTTACTCTTTGTGCGGGGTTTCAATTCCGTTACAGAAGCAGTCCGTAGTGTTTAGACGCCCCCATGATCCTTAATGTAGTACGAGACTCTTAAGACATGAGGTGAGTTGAGAGTATTAAGGTTCCGGATGTCCACTGGTCTCAGGTCTCAGCTCACACGAGAACAGTATTTACACGGGGTTACTTAGATACTTACCCTTTTCTCTCAGTCCTAGTTAAATCTAACTAGTCAATACTCGATAGTTTAAGAGGTCTCATATAAATTGCGACGTTTGACTGATGTTGGCTTGGCCATGAGACAGAAGATTCAGGACTCTGAGCTGCAATAGAAGATCCTCTCAGCACCGCTCATAAGATGTCAGTTATGCTAAGGCAATTATAGTCTGAAGTGCTCGCTACGCAGACTTGCATTATTTGTAAGAGACCTTTCCAAACTCTTGTGGTCTACAAGTGAGGATATTAGTAGAGATTCTGTCAAAAATGCTCATGTCCAAATTGTATGAGATGGAGACGATATATGTGGTCTCCGTGCCTCTCATCACTGGCCACTACGTCCAAGACGCGAGGATCTCTCGTCCGACGTATTGAGCTTTAGACTATATCGGCAACGCCATTGGAAGTATACATGACCGAGGCTGCCACAGTTGTTTCTGTGGTATCTCATCTTGTAGAATGGATATACCACAGAAAGCTGCAGGTTGTCCCTTCTCTGAATAGAGAGGCTCGTCCTGACTTGCTCGTCTCTGGCTAATTCACCCATGGTTGCATTCGCTTTCTTCTTGCGATCAGCATTGACCGCAGCGTTGGAGACTTTCTTCATAAGGACAGAGAGTTTCTTCTTGGTGTAAGACGCCTTTGGCGTGTCGCCTCGGAGTCATTGCGCTGTGCAAGTCCGTATGTTCTTGTTGTATGCTGGCTTGCTATCGTTGTCGGACGAGGACTGAGACTTGGCCTTGAGCTTCCTCAGAGTCATGCAGTCAGCAGTTGTGTGAGTGCTGGACTCGTGGTAGTCGCACGCAGCTTTCATCTGGTGTCTGGAAAGGAGCGCAGTGCCCTCGTGTGTGCGAGCTGACTATGAATATGCTTTCTTGCTCGAGGTTGTATGCGTGTCATTGTACTTCGAAGGAGCTTGCTAGGCATCACCGCCCTTGTCTAATTCTTCGGAGGATTCCATGAGTTCGCAGAATCCAATGGATTCCATGCGTTCGCAAAATCCAATGGTTTCCCCGAAAGGAGCTGAGAAAGTATCAAAGTCGTGTTCGTCAATCTTATTCATCCACGAGAGTGGAATTCCATGACAAACAATGTCAATGACTTCGTGATGGTTCAACGTTTGGTGTTTATGACGCGCTCAGTACTATAGTTGGTAGTTCGAAGGTCCATAGTGGTCTCTCATCCATGGCATTTTTCATTCTCCCCACTCGCGGCTCTGCCTTGAATAAGTCGACGGTGTTTCACGTATCTATTCCTCAAAGCAGGCATTTACAGCATATTGCGTCGACGGATAAGGCGTTTGTTCTGACCTCTTTCTAGAAGAACGTCTGTAGTGCGAAAACTCTCAGTGGCCTTGCTCTCCGCCAGCAGCATGAAAGCAATGTCTATGTCCAACACGAACTCTAAGCTAGTCAATTGTGCTCGCACCGCAAAATCTCGCATGGTCTCTGGTGTGACTGTACGGCTCCGAATGCTACCGCCAATGGCGCACAGTCTACCAGACTTGGAACAATAAGGTATTTAACACCCATACAAAGGCCTGATCCCCTTGTAGGATTGCATCGTGCGACGCACATGTCTTATCCAATCTCCGAAGAGTGCCCCGCACTTTAATCATATGTTCTCCTTGTCCGACTGATGTCGTGCCTTCTGTGACCCTTGTCAGGGGCGAATGCAATACACGGCTCTTAGCCTTATTCGCGACTCGATCCTAGATAGGGTTTGAGTTCGACTCATGACTGAGTCTTTGTGAATAGTCATTGAGACAGGGTTCTCATGACGCTAGTCATACTAGGTCGATGGTGAAACATCGGCCTAGATATTTAGCTGGCGTGGAGAGATTCCACGCTACTAGATAAATGCTGACGAATCTTCCACGCGTTCCGTTTTGGATCGTGGAGTGAGTAGGATTGCTACCGCAACCTACTCTATCACACTTTACAGTCTCCCGCGGGAGTTCAGATCTACGATCCTTTGATTGTGGATCTCTCTCGTTGATTAGTTTCATAGCTTTCTAATCCTCTCATAAACTTTCATTCTCTCAAACTCAAAACACTCGAAAGATCTTTACACTAGCTTTTAGCGTAGTGCACCAAGCTTCAACACTGCAGGAGGACAGGCCACTCGTAGCACGGCTACACTATCCTATAGTCTCACCGCCGTTCACCTCCGCCCCATCTTGCTGCCGATCGGCTTCGATGCTTCGGCTGCTTCGGTAGGCTCCTCTGTATCGATAGTAGACCACTGCTATCACGGTAGCAGTACTTTTTCAGTAGTATGTTAGATTCACTAAGCTCTCTAGTTTACCATTGTCATGCTATTGAGATACTACTGAAAAAGTGGTTCCTTTGCTTTTTCTACTGGTGTGGAATTCTAGTACAGAGGTACAGGGGTTGAATCCCTAATCGCGAATCCCCAACAATGTCATCGAAGCCCTTGCCAGACGGATACTTATCCCCCTGCATGTATTCTTTGAAAAACTTCAATGCGATCCTATAACAGGCAAGGCTTGTCAGTGCCCTTTCGTTTATGTTCCTTCCTTTGAGCTCCTCACTCTGATGGCGGGAAAGAGCCTCCACTGCAAATCCCCTGGAATGGACGATGTAGTTAGCTCCTTCATTGCAACTGAAAATGTCTTTCATCACCAATTGGTAGCCAGCTTGGCGATTCTCATTGCCCTCTCTGTTGTTCTCCAGTGGCACTCTGTTGAACATGGAAGCATATGCTCCCTTACCGTCCATCAACTTTTCCAATACTGAGGCATAACCAGCCGATCCGTGGAAGACTTTCTGCAAAAATTCTTCCTGCATTTCATCTCGTTCTCCGTCAGCTTTTCCTCCCATCACTAGGTCTCTGCACTCAGTTGCTACCACATTCCTGCACTCCTGAAGAATACCATCTGGTAGCTTGTCCGCCGCAGGAGGGGCCATGGTCACCACTACTTGGACGTTTCCTTATGAATGAATGGCTAATACGCAGTGTGTGTGTGTGGGTGAGATGCTAATACATAAAAAAGGTGGTATCTTTGATCGAAAAGTGGTGCTGGTTTTAGATGGCGAGAAAGATGATGTGGCACATTGTCCTTTGGGTTTTGATTGGTTGATTAGTGACACGTCAGTGCCACTTGGCGCAAAGACAGCATTCAGGTGTCGTGGTAGCGTTAGGGCCGGTGGCATACGCGACACGACTTCTTATTGTCGCGTATGTGGGTCGCGTGGTCCGCGTTAGGATCGGCTTTACGGTACCGATACGGAGCCATATTCTGTACCAGACGTCGCATGTCTTCAAGTGTTACGAACAGCTCTGCAGACATGACACCTGGTACCTGGTACGTACCAGGTACCACCACCTGGTATTAGCAAGAGGGGCAGGGCGGCAAGAACAAGAATTGTAGGCAAATTGAAAAGGGGATGGGCAAATCTTGCAATAGCCCTGAATTGTAATGGAGTGTGACTCGCCAAAATCAGTTAAAAAGACGAAATTCGTATTTTTGCCGGAAGATACATTTAATTGGATTGCATTGGATTGCATTGGATTGGATTGCATTGAATTGGATTGAATTGGATTCCAAATAGTACTGTTATTTGTATAGTAAACTGTAAATCAATGCAATCCAATCTAATCCAATCCAATCCAATCAAATCCAACAGAGAAAAACAGCCAAAGTGAAAGATTGGCTTATCACACACAATTTTTACAAAACCGCTCTAACAAATTCAACACAGAGCCATGGGCAAGTTTGCTCATCCCCAAAGTGACTCAGTGGAATCATCACTCAGCACAATGGCTAGGCAAACGAAAGCATGAACACCCCAACGATGACGGAATCATACGGTACTCCAGAAGAGAGAGTGAGGCTTTGTTATTTCACTGTTCATAACGGTGGGTGCTGACATGAACCATGCCATCCTCCTTCTTCTCGTTCTGTCGGGATCAGCATCGTTCGTCGATGGGTTCCACATCCATGTCCCGTGCAGGGGGCGCCAACCATTGAAGGAACCTATCCATCGCATCCAGCTTGGTGATGCTGAGAAAACGATAGAATCATTTGTAACCGAGACGTTGTTCTCATTTGTCAGAAATGACAAGGATGCAGTTGAGGAAGTCGACCCGAGGCAAGAACTTTGGGCCTTTCCAAGTCTTGAAACCGCGTCCGAAAAGGGAAAACTTGATATTGCCCGAGAAAGTCTGATGAACTACTTGCAGCTTTGGGCACGGCAGTTGCAAGATGATCCCAAAGGTTTGACGACTCCTGTTGTGGCTCAAGGCTTTCGAAATTGCAACGTGACAGAAAACATCGAAGGCAGCACTGGTGGCAGTACCGGTACCATTCTAGAAGCAGCTACGGCAGATTACCAATATGCTTCAATGAAGTTGATTTTTCGGCCGCCTAAGCGTTATCTTTCATACAAGGAACAAAGGGATATGGAGAAAGGAGTGCTACCCGATCGTAAAGGGGCCAAGGTCGACGCTTGGAGCCCAGGAGGCGTGGAATTGATTGTGAAGATGATACCACTAGGATCATCCAACGACCTTACCTCTGCTGCACCGATACCAACTTGGCGACTACAGCTTGAATGTAGACGGTGTGATATTGATGCGGATACAATTATCAAATACAGCAGCGAAAGAGCCATTGTACGAAGATTGAAGGAGGCCGTGCGCATTTGGGAGAAAGTACGAGCCATGAGATGCTGACGAAATCGAATCCAATCATCAACTAGCCGAGTCAAAGTCAACAACAGTCCCAATCGTGCAGGAGGCAGGAAGCCAGCACTTATATTAGTAGGATGGCGATTGATTGCTGAAATTCACTTGAAAAAGGGGGTGGTTTGCCATCGTGCGTAGTCAGATACCTTCCGCCTTATCCTGGCTGCTCCCCTCCGATGGTCCGTCTCAACTTGCCAGTTTGACATTGGACACAAAGATCCTAAAACATCCCAGGCCTTTCAAGCTACTCCAGTAGCTACCGGTAGCTAGAATAGAATCAAATGATTGAATTCATGTACGGGTAGTCTACTCGTACGGTACGGTACCATTCCCAGTACCATACTAGTACAAGCATGAGCTATTTAATGATGGTCTGAGACATCACCCTTTTGATGCTTACCAGGTTTATTACCAGCTCAGCTGTTAAATTGTCGATTCATCATTCAGTGATTGAGTCATTGCCAAGGACGACCGTCTCTTTCTGAGTGTCTTTGCATTCGTTACATCTTTGTGCTAGTACAGCTGTACCGGTACATGACAGTGCAGTGTATGTACCAGCAGCTGCCGGCAAGCCGGCATGGCTTTTGGGACATTTTGGCCATCGATTAAATCTTGTTTTCGGCAAAAAAAGACCCCAGGCCTGTAGACAATTAAACTCAGTCCCCTTAGAAAGTCACTTAAACCATACAAATTACAAATAAAGTAGTGGCCAAACAGCAAACAGCATACTACTAGTAGAACGTTAACATTTCCCCACGTATCGGCTTGCATACCGGTAATCGGTACTCCTAATCTCCTACTAGTCTAGTAGTAATAATCTCCTAATCTCGTAATAGCCATTAAATTTTTACTAAAAGTAGCTTCCACTCGAGTACAGTACTTACTTACTCTATTTGCAAGGTCATTCAGAATAGCTTTCAGAATTCAGAAAAGATTGTGAGTTGGTTATGGAATCGTTCCAATGTGTTCCTGGGGTTCTCCAACCAACAACCCTTCTGGCCATCCGCAATCCGCAAACCGCAGAGCTCCGCAGCTCCGAGTGTTCCGCCGATGTGCTGGTCGCTGCTCCACCTTCCACCGTCCCCACCCAACCGCTCAACTTCCCTTTCATAAAAGATAAAAGATTGCAACCTCGTCCTTTCACCCCTTCATTTAGTTGGCTTTCCTGAGCACACAGTACTTGTGCACCAATAGAGCAACATGCGTTCTTCCACCATTGTGACCACTGATGACAATGGCACTGCCGGGCTGCAGCAATATCTTGATCACCTCAACAGCTTCGAAGGGCCAGAACAATCCGTCGGTGCAGCTGGAGTTCCAAGAGTTGCCGACAAGGCAGAAAACAACAACGAAGTCAAAGAGGACGCTGTTGAACATCTTAAGAAGCGCAAAGAGGGTGACAACTTGTCTGGAATCTTGACTATCTCACCTTCTAGTAATGCACCACTTGTCAAAGCTTTAGAACAGCAAAGAATCAGCACATTGATTCCTACTCCCCTAGGGAAGTGCAGTGAATCCAACAATCAGAACCCAGAGAGCAGTTACTATGTACCAAGAGACCAAGACACTGTCGAAGTATTGAATACTAGTAGCATCCAGCCTCTTCCTCTTCGACAAAACAACAATGTCGACCTGGCGTCCCAATCAGAAGCTGGTGCATATGCCATTCAAAGCCCATTCTTTCGACAAGCACAAGTCCAGTCCATTAATGATGATACAGACGACCTTGAAAACCCTAATTCTCCACCGCTACAGTTAGACAACTCTGCTGACAGCTTGGTGGAGGCACATCTGGTCGAGGAGACTGAGACCGAAATTGTCCATGCCGAGAAGGTACCAATCGAGCCAAGCCACCCGAACAGACGAAACAGGATCATCCTGTTCATTGCAGTACTCATAATTGTAGCTCTCCTTGTAGTCCTGGGCATCACAATGAGGAGAGGAGCAAAAGAGGCACAGAGCAAGGCAGACACAGAAACTACTTCCAAAATCCGAAATCAAGGTAATGAAAGCTCAGTGGCAAGCAATGACACTATTACAATCATTGAGAGTGGGAGCACCAGCACCAGCACCAGCAAAAACAGCACTGAAGGTAAACAACAACGGTGTATCAGGACTACAGAAGAACTCTACCAAACCATCACTAAATACTGGGAAGACACAAGCACAAACTCGAATGTATCAATTATGTATGGCTGGCCAATGAACAAGTGGTGTGGCATATCCAATATTACCATCTTTAATCATCTCTTCAAAGTGAGCAAACAGAGGGTTGACTATGACTCCATCATGCCTGCTAACTTGACTGACAAAGCTATGATTACAGCTTCCAACATGGTAGAGGATATCGGGTCCTGGGACATGAGGAGAGCTCGAAGAATTGAGTTCATGTTTGAGGGATTGCAGAATGTATCTGAAAGCTGGGGAATTCAGAAATGGGATACCACCAGTCTTATCAGCATGAAAGGAGTCTTCAAGAATACGTCATGGACCCTTCCAATGCTAAATTTAAGTTCTTGGGACACCTCCAAGGTCCAAAACATGGCCCAATTGTTCCTGGATTCAAATGTCCAACGTCCAGGAATTGCACAGTGGGATACTGCAGAACTACAAACCATGTTCCGATTTGCAGATGGCAACCCATACTTTAATGAAAATTTGAGCAACTGGAACACTGGATCTGTCACAACAATGCAGAAGGCTTTCAAGCGCTGCACAAACTTTGACCAAGACTTGAGTGGCTGGAATACCATGTCAGTGAAGCAGCTGAGCCAGACATTCTGGGGAGCTACAAGCTTCCACAGCAACATCGGCCAATGGGATGTTTCAAATGTTGAGACTCTCTTTGGAACTTTCAAAGAATCCAACTTCAACAATGATATTACCTCATGGAATGTGGCTAAGGTCACTGACATGCAGCAGACATTCCAGCACAATGAAGCCTTTAATCAAGACATTTCAGCCTGGAATGTGTCACAGGTTACGGATCTGCAATGGACCTTTGCTGGGGCGTCCTCCTTCTCTCAAGATTTATGTGCTTGGCGATTCAGCCTTCCAACAGGTATTCCAACCAAAAACATGTTTCAAAATAGTGGTTGTCCAAATACTTCTGATCCTGTCAGCATTGAAGAGGGGCCATTCTGCTTTAACTGCAACTAAGAAAAGACATTTAGATGGTGATTTCTTGCTGTAGGTAATCAGATCACATCTCCTGCCTTTGTGAATGAGACTAGCAGAATGCACCACTAGAAGCTGACAAGCTAGAGGCTTTGTATTCAATCTATTCTTTAGCTCTTTCATGGTTGTTTACGTTCAACCTGACTCTTGCGGATACGTCTGGCGTCAGAAATCCTGGAGCTTCATTCATTGACTGTGGTGTCTACTTACTTTGGCATCACTGGCAAGTAGTAAAGAACCAAGTGTTAATTTTGTTTGCGTCGGTCACTCTTCATTGTACCATGGCGTGGAATGGAAACACACCGAATGCGCCAACACTGTAGCCTTTTCTGGAGATATGTAACGCCCATCGAAACAGCCGTGACCGGCAGAATTTTCGTATTTGCTGTGTTGTCATTTCTATAAAGCGAAGTGCTTGAAATCAGATGCGATGCCATTATGCAGCAGCATGATACGATTCGATTCAAGCTAGAAGATTGCACACCTGCAAACTAAGAGGTGGGATCATGCGGGCAAGTTTCTCCGTGAATACCACCGTTGTTTGTCTTTGCAGGCGGCACGCATGACTCCAATCAACTGTTGCAAGGCCAACTCTGCCTTTGTTCCCATTGTTCACACTTCATTACTGCAATCCTTGGATGAACGTACGTGATCGGGTAGGGACCCCATTTTCGAATAGGAACCTTGGCAACATTCCACGAAACGTTGTCCTCAGCATGACCTGGCGTCCATTTACAGCCTCGAAAGTCGTTGGCTATCACATGCCAATCCCACCAAGGGGCCGACCATGGCTCCTGTACCGTAGCAAAAGGGATATTGCTGTTGGCTCCATTTCGCTGCAAAAGCGCACCGGTATGATCCATCCGTTACAACGATCCTTTCGATTCGCGGTTGCCTTGCCCATATTCCTGGTTGGAACGATGAATCGAATCTGTTGGATTTCTTTTTGGTTGCCCACTTGGAGTCTTGGTTTGCCGACTAGTACAGGATACAAAGCCAGCAGCGAATCTATCCTCTTGTACAGGTATTTCCTGGTCGAGACGATGAGATCTCCCAATAGGACCATTTCGATCTTGTCGCATTGGCTTTTGGCTTGTAGTGTCGGCACCAGCTGCAGGAAATCCAACGAACGGGAAATCCCATCGCAAGACATGCCTCGACTGTGGGACGGGTTTATTAAGGGCTCCCCGTCCTACAATTCCTATTACCGCTGCTGCATGGGTTATTTTTGGCTGCGATGATGAGGCCATATTGCTCGTGGAATTGGAAAGAGAAATTTCCAGAGACGCCAACGCTCTCGAAGGCAGAACCAAGGCGTGCCTGAGACGAAGCCCTGATGATAATGAAGAATCGAAAGCTGCCATTATAGTATAGGGTTTGTCATGGTGTCATCTCCAGGTCTTCTCAACCTTGACAGACGTTCTCTCGACGAGCTTAGTAAAGGACTTCTCCCGTACGGTACCGGCTGGACCATCTCGAGGATCTTTGGATCTTCTAGTAAAGCTTGCAGAGCTGTGTAGCAATAGCGATTCGGACCCTTTCTCCCACCTTCTCGCATCGTGAAAACCGCAGCGCCTCCTGCTTTGGAACAATGCTCAGTGCCTTCGTACGACCGCTAGTCAAGCTATACACATGCTTCTCGTTCCAAAGGGCTCGTAGAGAGACAAAAAGCGGATGAATGTGTGAGGTCCATGAGGAGGTCGTGGCGGAAGCCTAGAGTATTCAGAGTTGTATCCAGAACCTTCCGATTATTAAACATGGCTACTCTCTTTGTCCTCCAGGCCTTGATCGTGCAGTAATAGGTCACGTACTCTTCTTCACAGCTATCTACCGGTACCGCTTATAATTCAGGCAGTTCAGGTGGGAGTGCATTTCCCTCCCTCGAGGCCTCTTGATTACCATGAAACGATTCGTGAGGACATGAGAACCCAGACAACTCCGCAGGATGAATCACGTCCCGACGACCTCAGCCACAACTGCTTCCTTGTTCCTTTGCTCATAAAACGAAATCATCAAGCTTGACTAAATCGATTTCACACTCAAAAGGCTCTCTCTTCTTAGATAGATTATCTCAAAATCTCCCCGTTCCACGATGCGTCTTGGAAATACCACCTCCCTTTTCCTTGTGCTATGCGCTCTCTTAGTTCCAGGTATTCAAGCCGGTTGGAGTACTGAGCAGACTACTCGCAAGCTTTATGACGATGAGGAATACCGCTATGATGATGAGGAATACGGCTTTGTGTGGTCGCTTCTCAACGGAACGGCATTTTGCTTTACTTCGCACGAACATCCTCAGAGATTTGACCTGGTACGATCCCGAGTGTGTGACTTTGCTGATTCCCCTGCAACTCAGCTGTGGCGTCACGATGATGGCAAGTTCATAAGCAAGGTCGATTCTTCCCTTTGTATGAGGATCTACGGAAGCAATCTCTATGAACATGGAAGTTCTCGCGTTCGTGTGACCCCGTGCGGTGAGGATACTTCACTGAACCTGTTTGATTTTGAAGGTGACAAGATTGTCGTGCGCGAAGACAACTCCTTTTGCCTCACTAGTCATGGAGCCATTCACCGTGAGGGGGCTCCGATGATTGCTCGAGCCTGCGCGAAGAAGCCGCGCTTCCGCTTTTGGTTTGAGACCCCAGACGATGGTACTACCGGGTTCTGTAACGATGACGCTGATCCTGTGGGGTGTCTCGTTGTGGCAGATGAAGATCCTGTACCAGGGCAGAAGTTGATCCTTGGTCATCCCGACCTCAACCACAACTGGAAGTCGGAAGTTGATACCAATCTCTTTCGGACGGCCTTGGATTTCAACATGTGCATGCAAGCAGGCAATGGATCGGGTCCACCAACCGAGGGCACTTCCTTACGATTGTACCCCTGTGATGAAACCAATCCTCTGCAACACTTTGACTACGAGGGTGTGGATATCATCCATGTGGGCTCGGGCCTGTGCGTGGGCTTCCGTGGTGACAGTAGCCATGTCAACGTCGATCCAATCATTCTCAAAGATTGTGAGCTCGTCGGAAACAACTGGAGCACTGATGGTTAGGCTGTTGCGGCCAAAAAGGAGACTGCAATGATATTATAACCTGAAGCAGACAAGAACACACCGTAAAGGACCGGACAGCGACTTCATTGGCTTGCGTGGCATAGGATCGGTGGTCGTCTTATTCACTGATAATTCTCAATAAGATTATGTATTCAACATATTTTGAATACGCTCATAGCATCTGTGTGCATGAGCGGATTGAGAGTGCACCGGCAACAATACTATACCGCACAGTAGCCGAGCTTAGCCATCAGCTTGCACTCTCTAACAAGGTTATCGTTGTCGTATGTAATGGGTATGGGCAGTTTGGAAGGAGAGAATTCAAGAAAGAGACTCAGCCCTACTAGTGGCACGATGCCCATGCATGCAACAAGAGTGAACACATGGTGTGTTACTATAGTAACCTCAAAAGATTTCGGATATTCAGAGGTTTTATAGTCATTCAGCAAGTTATGCTACCTGGTACTACGAACTATGGCAGTGCAGGTTGGTGAGTGTTACAGGCATTTCTCGAAGTCTCACAAAGCCGTAGTTACTTCAAAAGCTATACAGTACTCGAAGCCTTGAGCACTCCCTGTAGCAGCTGGAGTACCGGTACCGTATCGAAGAGCTCTTCCCAGGAGAATGATGACGTAATATTCTACCACAGCAGAAGAACAAGGTTCAATACTAAGCCTCTATAGGCAGCTTCTAGTGCATTCTGCTAGTCTCGTTCAAAAGGGCAGGAGGTGTGATCTGATTGCCTATAGCAAGAGATCACAATCCAAATGTCTTCTCTTAGTTGCAGTTGAAGCAGAATGGCCCTTCCTCAATGCTGACAGGATCAGAAGTATTTGGACATCCACTATCTTGAAAGATGTTCTTGGTTGGAATGCCTGTTGGAAGGCTGAATCGCCAAGCACATAAATCTTGAGAGAATGAGGACGCCCCATTAAAGGCCCAGTTCAAAGCTGTAACCCGTGACACATTCCAGGCTGAAATGTCTTGATTAAAGGCTTTGTTGTGCTGGAATGTCTGCTGCATGTCAGTGACCTTAGCCACATGCCAGGTGGTGATGTCATTGTTGAAGTTGGATTCTTTGAAAGTTCCATAGAGAGTCCCAACATTTGAAACATCCCATTGGCCAATGTTGCTGTGAAAAATTGTAGCTCCCCAGAATGCCATGGTCAGCTGCTCCAGTGACCTGGTATTCCAGCCACTCAAGTCTTGGTTAAAGCTAGTGCAGCGCCTGAAAGCCTTCTGCATTGTTGTGACAGATCCAGTGTTCCATTTGCTCAAATCTTCATTGAAGTATGGGTTGCCATCTGCAAATCGGAACATGGTTTGTAGTCTTGAAGTATCCCAGTGTGCAATTCCTGGAAGTTGGACATTTGAATCCAGGAACAATTGGGCCATGGTTTGGACCTTGGAGGTGTTCCAAGAGCTCAAGTTTAGCATTGGACGGGTCCATGACGTATTCTTGAAGACCCCTTTCATGCTGACAAGACTGTTGGTATCCCATTTCTGGATTCCCCAGCTAGCAGATACATTCTGCAACCCCTCAAACATGGACTCGATTCTTTGAGCACTCCTCATGTCCCAGGACCCGATGTCCTCTACCATATTGGAAGCTGTAATCACAGCTTCGCCAGTCAAGTTAGCAGGCATGATGGAATCATAGTCAATCCTCTGTTGGCTCACTTTGAAGAGATGATCAAAAATGGTAATGTTGGATATGCCACACCACTTGCGCATCGGCCAGCCATACACAATCGATACACTTGAGTTTGGGCTTGTGTCTTCCCAGTATTTAGTGATGGTTTGGTAGAGTTCTTCTGTAGTCCTGATACACCGTTCAGTTCTGTTTTTGCTGGTGCTCCCACTCCCACTCCCACTGATTGTGATAGTGCCATTGCTTGCCATTGAGCTTTCATTGCCTTGATTTCGGATGTTGGAAGTAGTTTCTGTGTCTAACTTGCTTGGTTCATCTTCTGCATCTCCCCTTATTGTGATGCCAAGGACTACAAGAAGACTTACAATTATCAGTACTGCGATTAACAGCATGAGCCGGCTTCTTCGGTTCATCCATGTTGGTGCGGTTGGCATCTTTTCGGCATGGACAATTTCAGTCTGGCTTTCCTCGACCAGATGTGCCTCCACCAAGCTGTCCACAGAGTTTTCAAACCGAACTAGAGCAGGAGAATTTTCCACGTCCTGTGGTGTATCAGTTATGGGCCTGGATTCCGCAGTGGTGTCATGAGGTCGAAAGAGTGGGTTTGAAATGGCATATGCACCGGCTCCTGATTGGGACGTCAAGTCAACATTGTGGTTCCTTTGAAGGAGAGCAGGCTGGATGCTGCGTAATTCATCAATGCTTCCTTGGTGTCTGAGTGGTCTGTGGTCACTGTTCTCTGGGCTCTGATTGCCTGATACACTGTTGATTGTAGTTGGAATCAACGTGTTGATTCTTTGGTCTTCTGAGACTTGAGCAGGTGAATATTCATTGGGAGGGGAGATGGGCTGTACAGCAGACAATTTGTCGCCCAATTCAAAGTCCTTTGTCTTATTGTCAACGTGGATATATTTGGATTTTTCAACACAATCTGTTTTGTCGGGCACATCAAAACTGTGGACTCCAGGAACGGATTGCACGGTTCCTTCCTTGACAACATCGAATCTCATCAACTGTTCAAGATATTGGTTCAGCCTAGCAATCTCCTCATCTTCACCGGTATTGGAAGTAGTCATCTTGAACTATTAATAGCCAATTTGGTAGTTTGTGGCCAACCAAATGAGCGGTGGCCAGTGCAGCCAGAGGTGTGGACGTCGAAGTGAACGATTAACACTGCAAAAGCAACCGGGTAGCGTTGACTGAATTGTTACCCGTACTTTACGACGATGAAGTTACTACCGGTACTGTGGGTGGTGGGTGTGGGTTGTTTGCTTTATGGCTATATTGATGGTCGATGGTCGAAGGTGGAAGAACGAGAGGTTCGACGGATGATAAAGAGGAAAGAGGAGCCGAGAATGTTGTGGGAGGAGCTGTGCGAGGTGTGGGAGGCGTCGTGCGTGGTGTGTGGAGTGTGGAGGCAATACAAAGGTGATCTAAAGAGGTGGTGGCATCATTAAGTAAATGAGATGGCCTGGTGGCCTCACACAATGCCTCAATGCTCAATGTCGAAAGCCGCTGGCACATACTAGTACTGCACTCTTACATGGACTGGTACATGATCTGGTACTCGCATGTTTAATGTACTGGTACTCTACCAGGTACCGTTAATAGCGGACATGGTACCTGAGAGAACCTCCGGTCACTGTTAAAGCCATCCAAAAAAATTTAATAGAGAAATCGAAAAAAAAACTCTGCCCCAGGTGGCACGGTGGCACCAAGTACTGTACCACGGCATCAGAACCACTCATGAGGACAGTCCGTTTGAGCAGAACATGGAAGGTACCGTAACCTGGATAAGCATCAACGAAAAGGACGCCTTGCCATGAATCGAATCGAAGAGACAAACTAGCTAGCTAGAGAGTACCAGGTATTGGTCTTCTTTGGAAAAAAGCCGAGCACCCATGCCGAGATGTGTGGCTCCTGGCTGGCTATTCAAAACCCCAGAAAACGCACCGTACTGGTAGCAACGCAGCCAACAAGATTACATGCACCGGTAGTACATGGAAGTTGGGAACTATAAGTGTACTAGATTAGCACAGAAAGAGACGGCCCAGGAGAAAAGAGAACAAAAGAGATCATACACCAAGGCCAATCAACATATCCCAAGGTGTTAGAGTAGTTACAATGAAATATTTGAAATTGTTTTGCTCCTACAGACATGTCGGCCAGGTGCTGCGCTTTGATATGAAGTGATTCTAGAAAAGGACTCTTCCACTGGCGTTTCCTCGTCCACGTCCGCGTCCCCCTCGTCCACCACCCCTGCCTCCCAACGAGGGACTTGTCCTGAATTGGCCACTTTGGCCCTGATTCGATCGTAGATTGCCTCCGGAGGTGCCAAAGTTTCGATCGATTTCCTCCATTGAGAGGGGGCGATTGCGAATCACTTGCAACTTCTCTTGTTCCAGGTAAATGTTGCCTCCAGCACCACGAGCTTCTGCACTGTCAGCCTCATACTGGAGAACACGTGCCTTGATCATGTCTCGTTCCCGAGCCGCTTCGTCGTCCTGCTTTGTCGCTGTCTTGGCAAGGTTTGTGTCCGTAGGAACAATGATTTCTTTGGATTCAACCTTTCCTTTGTTCCCCTTCTTCGTGAGTAGCTGGAATGTGATACCTTCGCCACCACCAAGAGCCAAGGTAGGACCGGCATCCGCAGGTTTCGTTGCATCTGGTTTCTTTTTGAACATAATACTCCCCGAGATCATCGTGTCGGCAACCTTACCCCCCGTAGCTGCTCTCGCAGTAGCCTTTCCTTTCTCAAGTGCTTCCATTGTCACTCGACGAAGCTCCCTTTCGAACGCCTCTTCTTCCATTTGAGCAAGGTAGGCCTCTTCATCAAATTCCTCTTCATCTGACCGCTCCTCATCGTCCGTCTCTCCATCGGAGTCATTGCTCTCTTCTGAATCGTCGTCTGTTGTTTCGTCGTAATGGGAATGCTCCATGTGCTCTTCTCCGTCATCCTCTTCGTCGCCGCTTTCCATCTCGAAAGCGATGTCGTCATTGACACTATCCTTCGCACTCAAAGACATCGGATCCTCCACAGAAGAGTCGTCATCTTCATCGTCGTCGTCGTCTCCTAGGGACTCTTCCTCCTCGTGGAGAAGATCTCCTTCAATGGCGCCAAGATTTTCAGCAGTGGATTCGCCGGCCAAGGCTTCAATTCGAGCACGCGTCCTTGCCTCTGCGACGTAGTCAGCTTCTTCCGCCGCAACAGTAGCATTGTGTGCTTCAAGCCAATTAGCATAGCGTGGAAACCCAATTTCTTCTTTTGCCTCCGCATCACCACTCGAGTCCTTCTTCCCCTTGGAGCCTTTCCCACCGTCTTTGGTGGCCTTGCGCCAAGCGGAATCGACGATATCAAAGGTGTCCAATAACGAAAACTCAACCTCTGAGGACATCAAAAGCAATGAGATCGAGACTGTGAGATGATCCAACAGAACAAAAAGTTAGGGTAGCAGCGTTTATGTGCTTACCAGCGGGCAACGATGTCTTGGTGAAAAGATATCGCTGGAATGCAGCCATAAAGCCTTGCAACTTTGGAATATTGCTCCTCGTCACAAGATTTTTTGCAACAACTTCCAAGAGGGTGCAGACAAGCTTTACTCGGAATGCTGAATTCGGCGTATCTTCGTTCGAAGGGACACGAGGATCGAATTCCGAATGCTTCGAGACAGCTACGGGCTGCTGCGGCTGCATGTCTTCTTCTTTAGTCTCCAGCGGAGCCTCGTCCAGTTCCTCATCTTCGTTGATTGCTGTCACCATACCGCCGGCCGAATTGTACACAGGAAGTTGTTCCTGCTGTTTGCTGGCTTCAGTAGTGGAAGCACCGGCGGACATTGCTTCCCGATGTTTCTCAGAGGCTTCCTTCAAGCCCGACGGAATTTCATGGCCAATGTTGAGGAAAAGGTAAAGTTGTTGAATTATCAGCTGGCCTGAAACCAGCGATACGCAAAAGAGTTCACCCAGCAGTCGAGCATAGGAGATTATCCTTTGCTGATCTCGAAAGTTCGGGTGTTCAATGGCCCAACGGAGTTCCTCCAATACAGCATCGATCAATCGAACAGAGACTTCAGGCCTATGGCGTCTAAGATTGGCAGCTACAGCCGCCAACGCTTGGATTCCCTTGTAGCGTCCCTTGCGGCAAGTCTTCAAAATGATTTTGCAGACAAGTGGACCGCACTGCTTGGTGGGGTCATTCCACGGGAAGCGAATAATTTGCTTCGACACAAACGAGATGCTGTTGGCATCCGGCTCCAAACGATCCAAAAGCAGGTGTCGTAGGTACGCCTCCAAGGGAGTATATTCCTTAGCCTGTTTGCGTGGGCCGCTTAGTGGAGGCTTCACGGTGTAAAAGGCTGCCTTTATCAAAGATTGGTGCCGTTCATCCAAGTGCTGGAGATTTGCAGAGAATATCGATTGGTCAGGGTGAGACCAAACGAGCAAAAAAACGCACCGGACAACAGACAAATGCCCACTTACCGCTGCTTTGCTGAGACGAGATATGGTATCCAAAAGTTGCGTCAGCCTAGCGTTAGTGTGCTTGATTCGGTGTAGGTAACGCCCGCAAGATTCTAGTAGACAGCAACAGACATCGATGTTGGCACCGGAAAAATCATCACAACACCGCTTAATACAGCGGAGAGCCACGATCGGAGGGGCAACTCGAAACTTGGTGAGCTCCCCGATGTAGCGGGCAGTCTTGAATCGAGCTTCGACGCTTTGCTTCTTGTAACGTGTCTGCCCGTGAAACTGTTGCTCCAAATCTTTCACTAACACAGGCGCAATATCAGGCCAGACCCTGTCGAGAATAGCAGTCATGCGGGAGTAGTAAGGAAGAAGGTCCAAACGACTTCTGGGGACCAAAAAGAGAGTCTTAGAGAGGCGCTTCCGCGAATTCTTTGACGACCCATTGTTCGTACAGAACTTCTCAGCAATCTCATCAATTTGCTCTCGTCTGTTGCACTCAGGCAACTCTTGTTCAAGCAACACAGTGAGTTTGTAGTGGGGTGTATCTTTGTTTTCTTCCGCTTCGTTTTATGAGACACTTGTGAGCGATTGTCGTGGTAATGAAAGAAGAAGGAAGCCAGAGCCGTTCCAACTCACCTGCCGCATCATCTGTTCCCTGCACCCCATCAGCAGGCGCCGCTGCATCCTCATCATCCAACAGTTGGTCCTCTGCCAAGGCTTCTTCTGTGGCCGCTTCGGCCTCCTCGTCGACAGCACCAGCCCCCGCATCAAAGCCAGATCCATACTTTTGCAAGTTGTCGGCTTTTCGGCGTTCAATCTCTTCGGGGGATATCCCAAGAAGACCAGGCGGAACAGTCGTAAGCAAGTCTGGGATGTCACAATAGAATGCCCTGGTTTCTTCGTCATCGAAGGGCCCAAAGTCGGCTCCGCCCTCTCCATCTCCGCCTCCTTTGGTCCAGAGCTCCAATCCGCCACCACCAGCATCGGCTTCCCCATCATTTTCTTCTTGCTCTAGTTGTGGCAGTGGTTGGTCCAATATATCTGAGAATGTGTCGACGCTCTTCTGTAGCGACTCCAACAACTTCCTGGCATCCGTTAGTCCTTTCTCACGAGCTTCAGGAAGGGTCCCAGAAAGCAAACGGTCTTGTTCGCATCGCTTTTCTAGTTTTTGTAGCTTCACGTGGGTTGTAACCAACGAGGACGACAGTGTTTGGTAGGCTCCCAAGCAATGTTTTGCAAGCAAATCAGACGTTCCATTTGGAACAGCCAGATCAGTCATTGTCTTCTCTAGCTTGGCAACTACCTCTTGACCCTTACTTGCCAATTCAGCCGGCAATACGACGGGGCCGTCCTCAACTGCGCCTGCTTCTTCTGAGGTGGCTTCACCGCTGGAAGCGACTTTGTTGGCCTTTTGGATTTCCTCTCGAACCAGGGTGACGTGCACTCTAATGGACTTGGGTTGCTGTCCGAAGATCTCGTACCCAGCGGCTTTGACAAACGCCACAATGAGATTGGCATCGGTGACGGCGTAGCTTCCATCTTTTCCTCCAGTAGCCTCGGCAATTAGCTTTGATAATTGTTTGGTATCTGTCACGAGTCCATTGAGAACAAAGTCAGTTATCAAGCGCACATAGAGCCTTCGATTCTTGGCAGTCTCTTCAGTGGCTTTTTCATTAATGACAGACCAGAGACCCGGCAAAAGATTGGACAAGAACTCTTCGTAGCGCAAGTGCATTTCCATCGAAAGGGCTACCACAGACGGCAAGTCTCCCAATTTTAGTTTTGCATCTAGTAACGCTGCCACCACTTCGTCCACATACCGAGACAAGTTCAACGTGGAAACGTCGCGATTGATTTCATCCGGTTTCATGGCCCATGCGGATCCCGACTTGACCTTTTTGACAAAGGCGGTGCATTTTTTCAGATCCGTCTTGAGAGATTTCTTGTTGCTTTGAAATTTCTTTCGAAAGTCCTCCAATGCGCCTGCTTGGAGCTGAGCTCGGTTGGCCTTGTGGTTTTCCACCACTTCGATTTGTGTCTTGAGTGCCTCTATTGCTTCCTTGACACTCTGTTCCAAGGCTTCCTGTTCCTTTCGTCTCTTTTCTCTTGCTGCTTCCAAAGCCTTTTGTTCCTCTTCTTGGCGCTTTTTCAAAGCCTCGGCTTCTTCTTGCTGCCTCTTCTCCTCCTCTTCTCGTTTCTTTTCTTCCTCCGACTTGGACGGAGGAGGCGCCGGTTCTGCTGGTGTCTGCTCCTTATTGTTGCTCTTTCCCCCGCCCTTATTTCCACTTTTTCCACCCTTGTTGTTGTTGTTGCGTCTGCGTCGGTTCTTGTTGCCTTCTCGGCCTCCTCCTCCTTCCCCGCGTCCGGCCTTCTGTTGCTGCTGCTTGGCTGCTGGAGGCTGTTCTGTAGTAGCGTCATTCTTGGCCTTGCCGTCGCCTTCGGCAGCTTTTTCTTTGTTGCCTTTTCCTCGTCCACCACGACCTCCTCGTCCTTTGCCACGGCCCTTTCCTCTCCCTCGACCTCCACCTCCTCTACCGGATGCTGCAGCCGGTGGTGCATCCGCCATGGTGAGCCAAAAAGATCAAAAGATCCAATAGGCTTGCAAGTGGTGGTGAAAGAGAATTCCTCTCTCGAGTCGATTTTGTCGGAGCTAATGCCAGTAGTTCCTTCTGGAGTTACCAAGTCAACCTGAAGTGCCTTCTCTCGTCTTGTCCGCTTCGCTTGATTCTACTACTAGCTAATAGGAAGAGTACGCAGCCGCAGTGTAACATCAACGCCATTGTCAACTGTCAAAACGCAGTCCCCATTCTCTTTTTTTCGATGTCAGTAACGAGTACGCTTGGTGACTCGAAGAAAACTCGTGACTCATAGGTAGGCTGCTCGCTCGATCCTGTCTCCACAAAAGCGACCATGGCCCTCGATGACGGAAAACGCACTTGTAGGCTCCGAACCGGACAGTACCATGGCAGACCATGCAAGAGAAGAGGGCCAGAAGAGAGCCGGACATGGCAGCGCTGAAAAAGGTCGAATGCTTCCTTATAGCAACACAGATATTTGGGTGATTAAAATTCTGCCCTTCTTGGGTATTGCAAGCAATACGCCCTTTGTGCCCTGCACTCCCCAAAGATTAGTGTCATCCCATGGCATGAAGATGTATGCAAAGACGGTTGCTCAAATGGTCATTTGGAATTATTATTGTGAAGATGCGTGTTAAAGAAAAGATTAATCATGCTCTTTCGAAATTGAAAACTTGAAAACTTGGCTCTTTCTGAACTGGTTTCTACTGAACTACCAGCCACAAGGTCCACCATTCAAAATCTTGTGTGAAAAACAATGCAATGAGTAATGCACGATGTCATTTCCTGCGGCTCCTGGACTTGACTCGTCGTTTGGGAAATAGAGGCTTCGCACGGGCGCCAATGCAACCCCCAGGAAACAAACTTGCCGCCCATCCACATCCTGCGCGGTTATTGGATACACAAACCACGGATTCTACGAACCCTACCCTTCCGCAAAACTAACTTTCGGAACACCGTCCTCGTCAGGTTGCTCCTCGCAATCGTCGTGTTTGTGGCTAGAACCAACCCAATAGGTAACCATTTCACCCTTGCCCTTGACTCCAATCTTGCCCCTCTTGATGAGTTTGATTTCTGGAGCCTGATCCTTCAAGATCTGGGCCGACTTCTCGGAACAATGGACTCTGCGGCTTGTGGAGTTGCTCTCCATTCTACTTGCCGTATTGACAGTATCGCCAAAGAGTCCATAGCGCGGGTTGAGTGAGCCAATCACATTGCTAACCACTGGGCCAGAATGGAATCCAACACGTATGCGGACGAAACCCCTGCGAGGATCGTCCTCATCAATCAAGATCTTGCCAGCTGCTTCTACCATTGCCAAAGCAAACTCAGCAATATGTTTGACGTGGGTATCTTTCATGTTGTTTTCCAGATTTGTCACTCCCATGTAAGCATCTCCAATCTGTGGGGAGGAAGTTTGGATGGCAGGTGAGCAAACATTAGACCAAGGACACGAAAGCAAAAAGAGCACCATCCCAGTAGACTCACGGTCTCGACCTTGAAGACATGGTGCTGGCGAGCCAGCTGGTCAAACACCAAATACAGCCTGTCAAGCATATTGCAGACCTTGACAGGGGAGATGGTTCTGGAGATATCGGTAAAGTGAACAATATCTGAAAATACCACAGTGACCATGTCATGATTCTCTGGCTCAACTTTCTGGCCAGCTTTGAGAGCGTCCGCAATATGTTTGGGAAAAAGGTCATAGAGCATATCCCCCGTAGCTCTTTCGGGACGGACATTCTCACCCGCAGCAAGGGGATCGGTGTCACGCATGCCCATATCCATAAACATCATATCCAAGTCTTTGGCTTGGGGGCGGAAGAAGGGATCTGGGCTCCAGGCCTTCTTCATAATATCGACCATCTTTGTTATGGTGAGTTTGCACAGAGAGAGACAGAAAGCAAACGTCGGTTTGTCAGGAATTTTCCAAAAAAGTCTGGGTGCCTTCTAACACAAGAAGACATGACTCACCTTGGGAGGACAACACTCTGGAATTTCTGGCCTCTTGTTGTACCTGGGATCAACAACCCTGCGCATCACCTCTCGACGATTCTCTCCTTGGTATGGATCCTTTCTAGCATAGATCTCGTACAAAATGATGGCTGTTTAGCAGAGCAAGGAAGTTTGAAAAGTGTCAGGGTCTTGAATGGGCGATCAAGTGGATACCAGCAAGACGAACAAACAGACCCCCCACTTACCAAACGAATAGATGTCGCATTGTGTGGTGTACTCGGACTTGCCACGCAAATACTCTGGGGCCATGAAGTATGGGGTTCCTGAAATGCCACTCTTCTTCTTGCCTGAGGAGAGACCAAAGTCTGGGAAGGCAGAAAAAGCGTTATGTGAGCAGCATGCTGGCGTTGTGATGGGGGGAACAGTTTCTCCTGGACTTGCCTGCAACTTTGGCTCTGAACCGGGAGTCAATCAAAATGTTCTTGGCCTGACAAGGGAGGAAGGCAACGTATGAATTCAAAAGCACAGATTCATGTGTAAAGGGAGGACGGAGACCGACGACGTACCTTAAGGTCTCCGTGCAAAATGGGAGGCCTTGAGGAATGCAAGTAGCGTAAACCCTGCGCAATGTCCCGGACAATCTGCAAGATTATCTCACCGCCAGCATACATCGTCTCATTCCTCAAAATATCCTATGGTGACATTGCAAAGATGTGTGAGAAGTGAGCCGAGCGTGCGGATTCCAAACAGCATATGGTTCACTCACATAAAGGCTTCCGTACTCCCTGTGGCGGTAGAAGGATGAGCAGAGGCAGATAAATGTCAGAGACGAGCCATGTCACCAAGATCATTGCCAATCCTTTGCGTACATGTATTCCATAACCAGCATCGGCTCATGAGCGGAAGAGATGACAGCACCCATCACTGTTGTGACTGTTGTCAATGCGAACATGAGCAGTTTGTGGTGAGCAAATGTACACAAAGACGCTGTCTGTGCCACGAACGTCCGACAAAGCTGAACTTACTGCAAGGGTGTCGCAAGCGACTCAACAGACGCATCTCAACAATGAACTCTTGCTTCTTGCGATGCTGCCTGTCAGTGCATGGGAACAAGGTTGACCGCAAGGACTTGCTGTGGACCGACGAGTCTCCAACAGAGTTTCCTAGAAGAATGTTGGTCTTCATCCTACTCTGGTCTTCGGTGCAGAACCATGGGAACCATTTGGCCAACTTGCCTCGCTTGCGAACGCTGAATCCGCCCAGAAAGTCCAGCGTATCTCCCTCTTCAGATTGCGTTCCCGATTTGCTGACAACTGGATCGCTAATGGAACTTCCAACGTCTTGGGATTCAATATCACCCAATCCAGATTCGAGGCTCTTTTGATCGGTATCACTTGGCTCCATAGATTGTTCTTTCGAACCATCTGCTGAGGTAAGTGCAGATGAAGCTCGCTTATGGGTAAGCCGGTCATTGGGACGTATGACGCGCTTGATGGCAACCTTTGTTCCGCGGTACTACAGAGAAAACAAAAAAGAAAGGGGGAACAAATTTACTTCTGTAAGAATCCTACTTGTTGCATCCATAATCTTCTCAAAGACCAACCGCAGAGGAGAGCTTACCTCAGCAAGAAGGACAACCCCGAAGGCACCCTGCCCAATAATCTCAACTGGCTCACTGAAGTGCAGCTCTTCCACATTGACCAACCACATCTGGTCACTCTGCCTCTTCTTGTAGCCCAGGAACCAGACGCCTAGTTGCAGAGCAATCACAAGAATAATAGCAGCAAGGATGGCGAAGAAGACAGCGGAGCTGACACATTTGCTTCCCAGCTCGACGGTGCCACTTCCACAGATGCACATGCCACTCTCGCCTGGAACTTTCCCTTGGCCTTTGTGCTCAGCATCCATATCACAGTTTCTGGGGACAACTTGGACTCGAATGGGAGACTGCGGGATTTGCACATCATCAAAGTACACCTCCATAATGCCAACTGCAACCGTGTCCCAACGCCAATCAAAATCATAGGCAAAGGTTCCATTCTGCCTGGTGACCACCAGTTCTTCGTCATGTTCACCAACGTGCATTGTCACCCTTACATTGGGATTCTCTCTCCCTCTGTTATCATATGCGCGAAAGTGGGCCTCCCGGGTCTGTTCAATTGTATCACACAAAGTCATCTTCCCGCAGGCTTCAATTTGCTCTTGATTCTGGTCACCCGTGATTCGATGATCCGTCACGTTGCCCTGTTCATCGTAAGGATAAACATCAACCTCAAAGGCCATGACGCAGGGTTTGCACCAGCAATCCATGCCTTCTTCGCAGAACAGGCCCATCTGTGAACAACCTTCGTGAAACTGTTCAAGGCTCACCTTGTAGTGTCCCTCAGGGCAGACCACACCGTCGTACAGTGTGTCAAGGCGAGTGCATTGCCAGTGCCCTCGATGATTCTTGGCCAGCAAACCTACAGCTTCCTGCATTGTTCGCGGCTCAAAGTAGGACCTTGGTGGCCGGTAGCCAGAGAATTTTCCCGCCAAAGCAGCTTTGTATGAGAGTTCTGCAAGTGCCTTGGTGGTGTCGCACCGAGCTGTGCCTTCAAGGTCAAAGTCTTCAGGAATGGACTTTTGTTCACAAGGACTGCTGTCCTTTCCTCTATTCCGATACTCAGCACGGCATTCCTCGAGTCTTTGACCAATAAGTGCATGTTTGCCAATCGCCAAGATGGCTTCCTGCACTTCTGCCGAAACAGTCTTGTCCACATGGTCCAGGGCAGCTAGCGGCCACTCTGGGTAAATGTCAGTGGAGTGCAGGAACGGAAAGAGATTGCCATCGTCCATGATGTAGATCTTGGAAGAGCAAGAAAAATCAATATGTGAGTGGCATGCTGCCAACATGATGGCATCGTCAGTGATGAGTGCAGCACACATTTTCCTGCGCTTACCTTGGGATTGATGACTTTGAAGATATTTGTATCAACAGGCTCGCCGTTTTCATCCGTGTGTCGCTCGAGCTGATCTGTGCGTACAAAGCCAACATCATATTTGCCATCAATGACTCCTTGAACAACTTTGAACTGATCCCTGGCAAAGACAACCTGCTTGGGGTCCATGACGTAATCCATTCCCGATTTAATCATCTCGTGGAACTTTGGAAAAGAATAACGTCAGGTGGTGAGATGCGATCGTCCACAGAAGCAACAAAAACAACAGCAATCATGCCATACCTGCGCTGGACCAGCGTTGATGCGGGCAATACCCCCAGCCCCGATGATCTTGTCCTTGAGGTCATGGATTACATTGATATCATCCCTATTAGAATAGCAACAAAGGTCATTGAGAAGAAGCAAGGCTCATCCGGGATGTGCTCATACACGGCAACGCGTAGCTTACCGATCTTCTCTGGTGAAAATGACGCCTCCAAAGACATCGAGATCAAATGTGTGCCCGCGGACTGTTTGACGAGAAGTAACGGTGGCAAGGGGCTGCATCCCATATTCAACGCCAACACAAGAGTAGGTACCAGGATTGGAATAGATAAAGTCAACATCTTGTCCCTCGATCATCTCGTACAAGTCCATCATCTCGGTTGTGACCAACTCAAATGCAATAGGAGGATCGAAACGTTGTCCAGCCGTTCGGGTCAAGTATTCTACCATGGTAAAGTTGTACAAATTCATGGCGGTATCTACCCCACGAATCGCATGAACGGCAACTGTATACTTCTTCTTGTGTACGAGGGGGTTGAACTTGTTGACGCCCGACGTACAGTTCAAGTTGCTCGTGTACAGATGCATATCGTCCTGCCATTCTTTCCGCGCTCCAGCCCACCTTTGGTCGTCTTCATATTCATGCTGTGGTTCTTCCTCGACTTGCTCAGGCATATCCGTCACGGGCACCTCGTCCTCCATTGGCCCAGGTTCCACCGCCACGTCTTCTTCTGCGGCAAGGCCCACATCGGGGATATGCACCTCAAACTCAGCTCCAGCCGTGGGAGTGCTCTGCAAGGCCATCACGGTCCACAAAGTCACCAAGAGGGTGAACTGGGTCCAGGGGCGGCACATCATTGTTGCTTTCTTTCTTTTTTTGCTTTGCTTCGTCTTCTCGACTTTCTTATGACCATTCGAGCTAGCTCTAGCTACTACATGTATCTACCGGTACCGGTACAGCCGTAGCTGCAAGCTCGACCAAGGATGCAACCAACGATCAGAACCCCAAAGACGACTTCTCTTTTCTCTTGTGCTCCATGTCTGTAGCACCAGCAAGCAGCAGTCATTGGAACTCCAACTTGCGAACAGTAAAATTTACGAACTCTAAATGTCCGACACCCCTTTTAATAAATCCGAACTACGCATCAATATTCTCCAGTCTCCCTATCATACCGTACGTATCTGCTGGTACTACATGTACGGTACCTAGTAGTACCGGTAGGTCATTAGCACGTGATATTTTCGGGTTTCCATGTCTCCATCGGTGCGGGACCGCACCGGTACTGTACCGGTACCAGTAGATACCGGTAGAGGAAGGATGTCGACAGTTTTTGCAGCAAGTAGTGGTAGCTAGCTAGCTAGACGAGGTACGGTAAAAGGTGGGTCCAAGCGGAAGGTTTTTCTAGCTACCGGTACCTGGTACCGTACAAGTACTCCAAGGCGAGACCGGCCATCGGCCATGATACTGCGCAGGAAGGTGGGAGAAGGCATTTGGCTGGGCTTGACTCGATTCGAGGCACCCCAACTGACTTATCTCCTATTTTAATAGAGCTATTAATAATAGTGTCAAGAACCGAATGGAGTTGGTTCCTGGAACGGACCGGAGACCCCCCCGGCCAGAGAGTGAAGCTAGCAAATCTTGGCTTCGATTTGGTGGTTCAAAGAGACGATGCCTTGATGACAACTGAGGTCTTCACCACTACATAGCTAGTATGTCTCGATTCGATTCTCATTCTATCAAACAATGCAGCAAAAAGTGTGAGTGCTAAGTATTTGACGACAGAGTCAATCCACCCTGCCACGCTTCTGGTCGCCTTCGCATTTATTTGATCCCTGCGGCAACCACCGGCAGCCAGAAAAGAAGCAACAAACACCAAACCACTTCATGCTGCGAGCTCTTCGACAAAATGTGAAGCGCCTGATGAGAGAATGAAGACACACCAGTTTTCGGAAGAACTCTACCATTTTCGCCATTTGCACAGGCCTGGAGTCTCGTGAATTTGCTGCAGGAGCTCCTGCAGGTTCCTTGCTGCAGAGTTCTCCGCCGGTTGAAAGTTGAAGGAGAACCTGGATTCACTGAATTCAAAGAGACTTACAGAGTCACTGAATTCAAAGAGACTTGCAGATCAGGATCCCGGCAATTCGGGGGGCACTCCCGCTCGGCACCCAATCCAACTCATACGCTATTAATACCGGTACTGTAATAAAGGCTACCGTAGTCTATGTTCAGTTATACGTGTATTCGTTATTGCATTTCATTCATTCCTCCAGTACAATATATAATAATATATTATCGAACACTCTCCAACCAATACTCGTCTCGTTTTTTCTTCCAACTCCGTGTATTGCGTTGTTTGGTCTTGCGTTCCGACACTTCGGTCCATGCATTGAGATTGCGTGAATTGGGATAGAGTCCTGCTTCGGTCATGGTTTTGAGTGCTTCCACGGCCCCTTCCCAGTTGCCTTCGGATACGGCCCCTTTGACGAGCAACGAGTAGGATCCCTTGTCCTTGGCATGAACATCATTGACGTTAAATGGGTCGTCTCCATCTTCTCCTTCGGGTCCCTTGGTGCGATCTTGCAAATGCGTGTCAATGAGTTGTGCCGCCTCTTGCATGAGAGTCAATTTTTGATAGGCTGCGGCAATGGGATTGACGTGTCGCGCCACCAAGGGCAATCCATGTTGTTCTTCCATTTCCAGCAATATTTCCAGACAGGCATCCAACGGAGCTCGTCGTTCTTCCAACGTCTTCAATTCGGTTTCGTCCGTGTCTTGTAGTTGATGCTGTTTGGACGCCCGGACACATGCCCGAATCAGTGAGAGCACCATATTTTCGGTAACGAATACACTAGTGTTTGGAATGCGACTCTGTCTCTCTTCTTCTTGCACCGTCTTGTAAATTGCAATGGCTTTTTTCCACAATCCCAACTTGGCACACGCCACCAGAGCTCCTTCGTGATGCAAATTGGTCCGTTGGACTTTGAGGCCCTCGGCAGTGGCAGCACCCGCTTTGGTGGTTGTGGCAGTATTGTATCCCATGCGATCATACGTCCGTAGAGCATGCCGCCAAAGAGAGGGTTTGTTGGCCTTGCGGACATTGCGCCAAATGGTTCCGGCATATCCCTGGCTGTTCATGGGCGGTGCGGATGTTCGAAAGGCCGGATTGGCATCCGAGACACCTCGAATCGGGCGCCATCGGGGCAGTGCGGCGGGTGATGAAAATGGCTGTACTTTTTCCGCCTGCGGATCTTCGGCGGTATCTTCCCAGAGCAGCATTTGGCGGGCCATGGCAAAAATCATGTCGGCGCCACCTCCCAACGTCCGAACGGGTTCGGTTTCTTGGGGCAACACGGAGGGCTTGTCTCGATCCGGTTCATATAGATAATTATCATTCTGTTCGTTCAAACAGCTTCGACTCTCCACTGCTCTTGCCCTCGTCAGTGGCAAAGATGATGGTTTCCATGCATGAGAGAGCTGGATCGAACAAGATATCAACAGAAACACAACAGCCACTGCCAGCAGTCTCGGGCTACTAGTAGTAGGAGCTCCTCTTCGTATTCTTCTGCTTCCAATCTCCATGGTTAAAAACAAATAAGAGTGCTTTGTAGAATTTGTCAGTACCTCGTCCTCCAGCTGCTGTTGGTTGAGCTGAAGAAGGGACAACGACGACGAAGTGCAACGCAACCAACGGAACTCTTTGAATTCTCGTTGAAGTGTCACGTCAGTATCTTCCTTCAGTCGAATGAGTCAAGTCAAGTCAAGTCGAACTGGGAACGGGTCACATTCTTCGCTTCCACCTCATTATTTTTCCTCGTCATTTTCTTCCAACAATGACATCACGTCGATGCCAACAACCAATCCAGCAGCTGGCAAATGGGCCCACTCATCAAACCTATCGGTGAATACAGTGTGAAGGGAGACCATAATTACTGTACTCAAGAAACAAATGGAATTTATTTGACGCTTTCCTGATCTCATTCCTGAACATACTGTAATCAATTATTTGTCAGTACGGTAGAAACGGCAACCATAGCATGTCTGCCCCAACATCCACAACTACAAGGCTCTCTTCCAAATTTCTGGTATCGGCTCTTCTTCTCTTGACTTTTCTGGTTGACACAGTCCATTCTGCCCAAGCCTCCAAGTCCAAACCGGCTCTTATCGTTGGAATCAAGCCGCTCTTCAAGAGGGAAGAACCAAAAGCAGTGGAATCCACAACAGCAACCACAACAGCAACACCACAACCTCCACCCAGACCGGAACTGGTCACACAATCCCTGGAGAAAAATGCTGATTTGTACTATTTTGGTCTGGGATCCAACATGCTACGAGAAAAGTTGGAAAATAGAGCCATTTGTGGATCCAAAATCAAGGTGAAATCCTTTCAACCTGCCGTCGTATACAACTATAGATTGGCGTTCAACATGAAAGGGTTTCCACCACTGGAACCAGGAATGGGATCTCTCGAGCCTACTACTTCATGTATGGACGCTGAACAACAACTCCAACAACTGAATCAACCATCCACAAAACAACAAGACAATGCTAGTAGTAGTAGTAGTATCAGCAAACCACTCTGTGCGTACCAGGAAAACGAGTGTCACGGAGCACTGGTACGACTCTCGGCAGAAGACTACGAAAAGGTCATGCGATCGGAAGGAGTCGGTCATGGACGATCGGATCAGGGATACGAAGAAGTTGTAGTCGATGCGGTTCCCTACAAGGGACGAGTCGTTCAGGCCGTCGCATTGCGTGCCCGAAGTCATGTGCGCTTGTCACAAGATCCGGCGCCATCACAACGCTACATGGACATTTTGAAACAAGGAGCCCAGGAATTGGGACTGGCCCCGGCGTATGTTGACTTTTTGAATCAACATCCCGTGCAACAATCCTCGGCATGGACCAGACGGATTGCCGTTTGCAACTTGGCATTGTACTCGTCGCAACTCGTATCCTTTCAATCCAAGCTTAGAAAGCTACAGGTGTGGCTGCTGTGGAGAGTCTATGTCCCGCCCACGGCCAATGTGCTACAGAGAATACTCAGTGAACTGGCCATTGGCATGATCCTGCTCCCTGGGGCCATTCCGGGAAGTTTGTGCTTTCTACACATGAAGCGTACCAACAAGATGAATGGCATGATGAAGGCGCTGGCAGATAATCACTGGTAAACGACAATCAAACATCACGCTGGTTTGGGAATCGAAATGTGCTCTTTGATGCAAGCTGCTGCATCCTAGCGATACTCTTCACTGCCAGTGGCCACAAAAGAAGACAGCCCTGGCCAGTGGATGGCATGGCTTGGAGTGAACAAATCTGTGCAAGCGGTACAAACGACAGAGGCAGCTCCAACGTCCACCTGATGCACGACCAGTAAAGGCGTATACGAAGCAGTCAGGTAGATGCATCGATAGCTATTATTTGTACTCGTCATACCACTCTAGCTAGCTAGCTAGCCTACTCTGCAACTCGGCCCTGTGGAGTGATAATGCCGAGTTCTCGTAATCGCGCTGTGGAAACATATTCCTCGTCACTGTCCGTAAACATCTCTTCCACTTTGCAAAGCACGGCGCAGTGGCACCCACAGTCCACAATTTCTCCCACGGCTGTCAGTTTCAAATAAAATGCGCAACCCGGTAGAACCATCGGACCACTGCCATCACCCGCAAGTTTTCCCCAAACAAAACCCAGTTTTTCACATTCGCTCTGCTTATCGACGTTGTTTCCCGACGAACCACCCAGCAGTTTGACCAAGGGAGCATGCTGCTTCG